AATCAGAATTCAGAGATCCATGGAGCTGTGTAAATGTCAACAATCAGAAAATAAGAGTCAGAATAACTCCGACAGGTAATGAAGAGTACTGGAATGCATAGACCAAAGTGTTCACAGAACACTAACAGGACTCAAACAAGAGCACAGAGCTAAGCACATTATAATGAAGTGTAAGACTTTAAAAAAAACAAAAAAAAAAAAAAAAAAAAAACTTTCAAGTGAAGTCTAACTTCAGTATGTTATGCTATAATCATTCCAATATTGGAAAATTAGTATTACACAAATACATTAAAGATAAATTAATTTTCTTGTTTTTTTCTCATAAACTATATGCACTATTGCATATCATAATTGTTTACATCATCACTACTTTTTTTTTCTTCCCTTTTTGGTTTTTTTTTGTTGCCCTCACTGGCCTGGAAACTTGCTATGTAGAACAGGCTGGCCTTGAACTCACAGAGATCCACTTGCCTCTCTGCCTCCCCAAAGCTGGGAACAAAGGTGTGTGCCACCATACCTGGCCTCATGCACTACTTTTTAGAAGCATGATTGTTTTTTTTTTTTTTCCTTTTCTTTTTTGTTATTACTAGTGAGATCAAGGTATTTATTTCCTTTGAAGAATCTTTTTCTTTGCCATTTCATTTTGCAGGTATTTTTGTCTTTTTCCTTATAATACTAAGAATGCTTTATTTTCCTTTTCTTCCCTCATGCTGGGGACTGAATCCAGGCTTTGCTCATGGTGAGCATGTGCTACACCACTAAGCAACACCACAGACCAATTTTCCCTTCTTAGATGGGGCTAGTGTTAGAAGCTACTTTGTGGAGGTTTTTGGTACCCAGCTTAACCTTTTCTAATAATTCCATTTACCTGCTTTTGTACTCAGGTACTCTGCATCCCAATGGCTCAGTATTCTGGAGCCTGTCTTCCTTGTCCTTTTCCTGATATTACATGATGTATTCAAATATAAATTATATTTTGGTCAGGAAACAAAGCCAAGGGCATCAATACTGCTTGCCAGGATCCTGTATTTTCATATACCAATTTCAGATTTCATATACCTGTGTCCACACACATCCTGCATGCTCTGATTCTCTAGTTTTATATACCATTACTTCATACAACCCTTTCCTTGGTGTTCTATGATTCATATATCTGCATATACACACATGTGCTGGTTGTGATGCCACTTTTTTTTTTTTTTTTGGTCTTTTTGAGACAGGGTCTCCCTGTAGCCCCAGCTGTCCTGGAACTCACTATGTAGACCAGGCTGTCCTTGAACTCACAGAGATCTGCCTGCCTCTGCCTCCGAGTGCTGGGATTAAAGGCGTGGACCACCATGCCTGGCATATGCCACAATTTTTACATACCTATATAAGCATCTTCTGACATCAGTTGGAGAGAAAAAAAAAAAAAATCTGTCTTTAGAGTAAAAAGATGTTAAAAAAGAAAAGAGAAACCCAGTTACCTCAGACTGCATTTGCTTACCAAAGGTTGAGGCTCTTTCTCCAAGGCAGGCTTCATTTTCTCCTATTTCTTGTTGAACCTTTTTGCCTGTTTCCTGCAGGACAAGGTATTCTTCTAGTCTTTGCAGGCCTTCCTGGGAAGACAGATCAACAAAACAGCCCAGAAATTCCCAGTATTCAACCCAGGGATACCCCAGCTCATGAGCTAGCTCCCTGTAAGAAATAAAACACAATTATCCAGTTGAGAAGACAGAAAAAAATCCATAAAACTGACTGTACAGAAAATGGGCATTTAGTGTTTAAATTGCCAAAATAATGCCTGTAATTTTTTAAATTAAAATTTTATTTATTTTTATTTTATGTGTTTGAGTGTTTTGCCTGCATGTATGTAAATGTACCTGTGTATGCAATGCTCATGGAGGCTAAAGGGTGTTGGATCCCCTGGAACTGGAGTTTCCGATGGTTGTTAGGTTATTAGCCACCTGTGGGTACTGGGAACTGAATCCAGGTCCTCTGCAAGAGCAACCAGTGCTTTTAACCACTGGGCCGTCTCTCCAGCCCTATGCCAGTAATTCTGAGCACACTCTTACTTTACCCTAAACTTGGGGCATTTTCTAGTGCTTCCCTAATAGCAAGAACCTTCAAAGTCCTTAAGGAGCTACTGTATGACAGAGTGAGTGACACTCAAGGAAGAAGCCCCTAGCCTAGAATACAAATTTCACAGCAAAAAAGTTACACAGTAACTTCCCAGTCTTCCCAATACATGTACTTATTTTGGTCAAGTATGTAAACTTTACATGTCTATGGCAGGGTCAAACTGTAAACCTCAAACTGGGCACGTACTTTGAGAAAAGGCTCTAAAATCCCCCAGGAGTCCTGGGAACCGTTACATAATTAGACTTTCCATCATCTGTCCACACACAACCACAAACACACTTTAAAGCATTATTGCTCAGCCTGTGGGGCACGGTCCTGTGAGTACCTTCCCACTCTCTCAATGCCTCGTTCTGGGTCAGACTTTCTGACACTGTGGAAGAAGCCTGCTTTCTCTCGAGGTGGAGTTTTCCAGAGTTTGCGAAAATCTTCTGCCTGGGAAGAAAAAGTGTTGAGACAGATTATGTCATGTAGTTCGCCAGAGACTCAGAACTACCAGCACCACAGAACTGATGGCTGTTTAGCCCCTTTAACAAATGCTATAGCCACCATATGGCCAAAAAAGGCAGCAGGACTGCATATAATTCTCAGGGGGGTTGGGCTGATTGTGTGACTTCCTGGGTAGATATTTGTTTATGTCTCCCCAGGAAATGTGATACAGGAGAACTGAGAGGGTCATATCTGGCCCAAGACAGTCCAAGTATGAGACCTTATCCTGAGGACAACAGGTATTTCCCACCTGTCACCCCATTGGTACATATCCTATTCTTCCTTACATCAAGAAAACTGACATCAATATCCTGTGAATCATTCTTATTGGAGTCTGATGTTTAATGTTGCTCCTTTGGAGGTATTTTTATATTTGCAAATTATTGAGAATTTCTTTTTTTTGTCTTTTTGAGACAGGGTTTCCCTGTAGCCCCAGCTGACCTAGAACTCAATGTGCAGACCAGGCTGGCCTTGAACTCACAGAGATCTGCCTGCCTCTGCCTCTTGAGTGCTGGGATTAAAGGCGTGCACCACCACACCCAGCAAAAGTTGCTTTTTGAGACATGGTTTCACTGTATATAGTGCAGGCTGGTCATCAAATTCTGATTCTCCTGCCTCAGCCATACAAGAAAAATGTTATCACTGCTTATTTAGAAAGTTTTTAAGAATAGATTACACACATTAATATGTGAGATATTTCACTGGAGAAAGCCGTCAATTGTAAATTTGGGATACAAACATGTATGACTTGCAGCCTATCAACACTATTATTACAAACTTCCTGATCACTACAGGTGTGAGTTGAGCCCAACTGGCTGTGGTCTCATGGAAAAGCAGGTAGATGCCAGTAGCTCAGAACATGGGGGAAGGGGCAGGACTTGCAAGTGTAGGAAGCTCTGTCTGGAATTTGAATTTGCAAGCAAAAGCTCTCTAAGTCACAATGGATAGCTTGACAAGACTAGCAAGGGATGGGAAGCCTGAGACATACACAGGAGGAAACACTATTATGCTAGGAGGTCTGGGCTTCCAGCATACCTTCCCTGGTCATATTAGCAGCACAGCGAACATTCTAAGGCCTCATTACAATTTAATCAAAGGTGGTGCCACACAAGGATGACCTTAGGCTTCTATATGAGTTGGTCTCCAACACCAAACAAAGCAACAGGCTAGAGCATACTGAACACTAAAATGTGGAGACAGCCATGGCAATTCTGGGAACTTCTCTCCCTGGCAGCTTACCTTAGATGGGCTCAGAGGTCCCACAAAGGCTCTCAGTGTCAACACAGGATCTCTTGGGCTGTTTCTACAGAGGTCACCATGTGAGACTTCAGTTGTCTGATCTGAGGACCACAGCCCCCCAATGACAGGAGAAGAAGTGTCTTCCGCTCTCAGAAGTGGCACATAGTAGTGACCTGAGGGAGGAGGCAGGTGTCAGCCACAAGCTCCTACTCACCTGGTGTGAGTAAGGGTCAGGGCAACAGCAAAGGAAACAATGATAGAAGAGACCAAGTAGTGATGTATGCTTAGGGGCCAGGTTGTGCCAGGAACCATTAAGTGAACCTCATTTCCTTCCTCTGCTAAAAGTATTTTTTTGAGACTTCTCTGCATAATAGAGATAATATACTTTACAGGGCTTTGAGATTTCTAATGCAGATGTATGCTTATGGTATTCAAGTTCTTACATCTATCTATATGAGCTGCTGAGAGTAAATATTTGCAAAAAGATGAACTAAAAATAAACATATAAGTCAATAAAATTCAGACCTATCCCATCTTGCCTCAAATCAATATAAAAAAATTAGTCATGATCTCTCTATATCCACCTCTAAACCATACCATCAAATTCCTATCCCATGGGGCTAATGACATGGCTCCCAGAGGACCTGGGTTTGATTTCCATAACTCACATGGCAGCTAACACCCATCCTTAACTATAGTTCCAAGGGATTCAAGACCCTCCTTCTGGCTTCCCTGGGCACCAGGCATGCAAGTGGTACATTTACAAACCCGTGGGCAAGAAACTCATATACATTAAATACAGATTTCAATCCAGAAACACACTGAACACAAACAACCAAAACAAACAAAAATAATCCAAGAGAGAAAGAAAAGAGAAAGGAATGGAGAAGCAGCAGACCCCGCCCCCCCCGCCCCCCCCGAATCTGGAAGAAGCCTGCTTAGCACAAAGAAGGAGCTTAGTACACAAAAAAGTTCACATTTTTCTCCTCTCTTCCCCAGTTTCCCATTCTTGTTGAAGAGCACAAGAAGTGCGCTGGAACACCAAGTCTGGCATGCTGCCCACAACTGCTGGGGAAATTTTTATTTCAATTGCTTATAATAGCTTTTTTTTTTTTTTGTCTTTTTGAGACAAGGTCTCCCTTTAGCCCAGCTGACCTAGAACTCACTATGTAGACCAGGCTGGCCTCGAACTCAGAGATCCACCTGCCTCTGCCTCCCAAGTGCTGGGATTAAAGGTATGTGCCACCATGCCCGGCTTTCTAACAGCTTTTATATCTTTCTTATACTACTACTTAGAAAAATATTATCATAGACATACTGAAAACCACAGCATTAAAATATGCATTTAACATCTCTTGCTAGCCTAGCATGCAAGATGCCCTGGGTTTGGTTTTAAGCGCTGGGTGTGGTGGCTTATGCCTGTAATCCCAGAACTTGGGAGGCCAAGGCAAGAGAATCAGAAGTTCAAGCGTGTCGTCACCAAAAGGGTGGCTAGAAGGATGGCTCAGCAGCTAAGAGCATTCCCTGCTCTTCCAGGGGACCTGGGTTTGGTTCTTAACACCCACGTGGAGGCTCACAACCTTCTGTAACTCTAATTCCAGGGGATCTGACACCGTTTTCTGTCCTCTGTGTGCACCAGGCACATATAAGATGTACATATATTCACACATACTAAACAGTCATACACATAAAAAATACCTTTTTTTTAAAAAAAGGGAAAAGTATATTTAGCATTTCAATGTCTAAGACTGTGATAAATTACATATCTGTGAGATTTTGTAATGGACAAGTTTCCCACCCTAACCTCCAAGCCCTTTTAGTGGCACATGAAATAATGGGTACCTTTGGAAAATATATGACAAAACTCCTACTCATAAAATATTGTTTACTTCTTTGGGATATTCAGGACCTTTAAGTTTTTTGGATTTTTTTTTTTTTTTTTAAATGCTGAGGATGAAACCTATTAGGGCTTGCATAAACCCAAATGTTCCAAGTATACACTCTACTGCTGAACTATTCCTTTAGATCTTAAGAGCTGTATGTTGGGGCTGGAGAGATGGCTCAGCTGTTAAGAACACTGGTTGCTCTTGGAGAAGACCCAGGTTCGAATCCCAGCACCCACATGGCAGCTAACTACTGTCCATAACTCCAGTCCTAGGGGATGTGACAGCCTCTTCTGACCTCCGTGGGCATTGCATAACATGGGTGCACTTACCTACATGCAGGCAATACACGCATACACATAAAATAAAAATAATAAATAAGCCGGGCGTGGTGGTGCACACCTTTAATCCCAGCACTCGGGAGGCAGAGGCAGGCAGTTCTCTGTGAGTTCAAGGCCAGCCTGGTCTACATAGTGAGTTCCAGGCCAGCTGAGGCTACTGGGAGACCGTCTCAGACCAAAAAATAATTAATTAATTTAAAAAAAAAAGAAAGAAAGAAAAGAGTTGTTTGTAAAGGGCTGTGGGGTAGCTCAGTGGTAGAGGTGTCTAGCATGCCTGAAGCCCTGAGTTCAATTCCCAGCACTTTGTGAGGAAGGGGGAAGACAACAGAAAAAGCATCTATAAAACTGGATTCATGCTGGGTGTAGTCATGCACGCCTTTAATCCCAGCACTCCTGAGGCAGAGGCAGGCCAATCTCTGTGAGATCCAGGCCAGCCCAGTTTATGGAGGCAGTGCCAGGTCAGCTGGGACTGAAAAACAAAAACAAAAAACAAACAAACAAAAAAAACACACACACAAAAATAAAACACCCTGGATTGCATCTGGGTCTTTTATTTTGGTCTGTTTTTTAAAATCCTATTCCTCTCCTTAAAATACTGTGGGTTCCTTTCCTGTATTTATGGAAGTGTGGGTCTCATGTTCTATGGGACAGCATGCAGCAATGTGGCCAGTCTTGCAGCATGCTCCCCGATGTGAAAGCCTAGAATGTGAAAGAGATTACAGGATGATCACTGAAGCTCTTGCCTGGGCTTCATACATGACCCCCAGCAGGAACCAGAGGTGTGTAGGATTCCAAAAGACTTGGCCAGAAAAAGAAATACAGAAATAGAAGTGCCATACTCTCCTCAGAAAAACAGCTAGGTGACCAGATCTGAGCAGTGATCAAGTTTCATGATCATAAATAGGAAAGGTCTTATCAGATGGAAGAGCTACTTCTCACCCAGGTGTTACACTAAATACATTTTATTTTTAAATCCTGGGTGTTTGAGTGTTTTGTCTACATGTATATAAGTGTACCCGTGTCATACAGTGCCCATGGAGGCCAGAAGAGGTTGTCAGATGCCCTGGAACTGGAGTTATAGAAGGTTGTTAGCTGCCATATGGGTGCTAGGAACTGAACCTATGTCCTCTGTAAGAGCAGCTAGTGCTCTTAAACAATGAACCATCACTCCAGCCCCATACATTGATGACATTTTAAGGTATTTCTTGTAGTTTGGCCTGAAATTCCCCAAAGGTGAAAATAAAGTTTAATTGTGTGCTATAACACAGCTGGGGCTTCTAACAAACGCTAAATGGCTCTTTTACCACCACCACATTCTGGGATCCATGGGTGCACATGCAAGAAAGACTGGAAGATCAGAGGACAATTAGAAGTCCAGATACTTTTAGATGAGGGTTAGAACCTGTTTCTACAAAAATAAAACACTCAGGCTACACAGGCTACATGGACTCTGATCTAATAAAAGCATCCAGAGACATGGCTGTTGGCCCACAATCAGGAAAAGAAAGCAAAACACAGAGGTTAGAGAGCTTGCATTTCACTCAGTGAGCAGAACCAACAGATTTTGGCTAGAGATGGAAAGAATAGTACTTCTGTATCTTCTAAGACTCACTGAAAACAACACAGTGGAACAGCCCCTTCTGAAACCAGCTGTCTCCCATAGCTGAAGCCTACAAACCAGGAACAGATGCCACATCTGGGAGCTCCTGACCAGAAGAGGAAAGCCTCAGAAAGCAGACGGCAGGGTGTAGAGAGGTTGGAGGTACGTGCCTGTGGTCCCAACCTACTCAGGAGGATGAGGCTTGAGCCCCTGAATATGACAGCAACCTGGAAACGTGAAACCCCATTAAAAAAAAAAAAATTATTATTTTTATTTTATGTGTATGAGTGTATTGCCTGCATGTATGTGAGTGCACCCGTGTTGTGCAATGCCACAGAGGTCAGAAGAGGGCTTCGGATTCCCCTGGAACTGGAGTTAAGGACAGTTCATAGCTGCCATGTTGGTGCTGGGAATTGAACCCGAGTCCTCTGCAAGAGCGGTCAGTGCTCTTAACTGCTGAGCCATCTCTCCAGCCCCGAAACCCCATTTTAAAAAACAAGAAAGCACCAAGCATAGTGAGACCCTGTCTCAAAATGAGAGAGAGGAGAGGGGGAGAGAGAGGGGGAGGGAGAGAGGGAGAAGGAGGGGGAGAGAGAGAGATAGAGAGATACAATAGCATCTCCACAGACTCAGCAGGAAGATGGTCCTCACAGGGTCCTAGTCCTGAAAGGCTGAGCAGAACTGGGCAGCCCCAGAGAGGCAGAAGAAGGAGGCAGACCCTGAAACAGACCCTCTCAGAAACAAACCAAAAACAAAAGCCCAACAAACTAACTACACAAGTTCTGTACTACATCCTTCCCTTGAAGGAAACAATTAGAAAAACTGCTATGCAGAGATGGGGTAAGGTTCCTCAGCAAAACTCAAGTGAGAGCCTCAAATGAGAGCAAGAAGGGACTATATAAAAACAGAAGTGGCCAAGGAGCTGGTAGCACTCAGGAAAGTAAACAATGGATGATCTCAAGAGGCTCTGAGGGCCATTCATAGCACCATTTTCTTCAGAACGCAGGAAAGCAAACAAACCCACAGTGTACTGCCCCAGAAAGTGAGGCCTACTCAGACTCTCATCTTAGTTCCTCTTGCAAAGGGCACTAAGTCCCCAACTCACCCATTAAGTATTCTCTAATCCTTTCTTTCAGTTCCACAGATTTGTTGTTACTTCTTTCACAAATGACCTATTCAAACAAAACAGACTAAGTAAACACCCTAAATTTTACTGTATTGCAACATTTCCTATCAATAAAACCAATTCCTTTTTTCCTTTTCTTTTTTTTTTTCAAAGTCTCACAGATCTGCCTATACCATCAGATCTAAAAATCAATCTTTTTAAAGTCTAAAGCCCAAAGCTCATACTCAGAAACTATGTGCTCAAAAGCACAGCCTGTTCTGAAAGCTCAATGGGAGAGAACAAGAAAACAGAACCTAGGAATACAGACAATTTTATTTTTTCCCTTCAGGTAACTCTATAGTTTCCTATTTTCTGCAAGGAAAAGAAGCTTAAAAGTACACTATTGAGCTGGGCATGATGGCACACATTTTTAATCCCAGAAGCAGGATATCTTTGTGAGATAGAGGCCAGCCTGGTCTACATAGTGAGTTCCAGGCCAGCTGGAGCTACCTGGAGACCCATCAAAAATGAATACATGAACACGCTGACAGAAGGAGTTTCACTGAGTGAGAGTCTAAAGTCTATTCTCCACACATAAATTTTTTTTTTTTTTTTTTTGGTTTTTTTGAAACAGGATCTCCCTGTAGCCCCAGCTGGCCTGGAACTCATTATGTAGACCAGGCTGGCCTTGAACTCACAGAGATCTGCCTGCCTCTGCCTCCAGAGTGCTGGGACTGCAGGCGTGTACCACCACGTCCGGCTCATACATAAATTTTTGCTGTTATGTAGCTGAGTTGAAGTAGAGCTACTAACTCATACATAACACAAATGTCTATTTTTGCAAATTCTGGAATCAATTTTCTGAGCCCTCGGGTAATTTAAGTAGTAATAAATAATTTTGTTAGAAACAAGAGAAAAGCAGTAACCTTCAAATAAGAAAAAAGGAAACCATATATTACTACCTCATGAAAGAAACTCAAATTGTGGGCTCTGTGGTAGAAGACTGACCTAGCATGTTTGAGACCCTAGGTACTGTTCCTAGCATCACACACACACACACACACACACACACACACACACACACACACAGTCATCAGTTTTAGGCTGGTTACCAAAAAAAATTCATAAAAGTTGAAAAAATATAGACAAAAGTGTATTTCTTGGTTGTTAAAGTTTCTGATGAATTTTAATTCCTTTTCCTCTTTTTTTTGGGAGGGGGGCCAGGCAATACTGGGATCTTGTACATGCCAGGGAAGTGTTCTGCTAACTTAGCCCTTATTCTTTTCAAAACATGAATTCTATCAGCTTACTATAGAGACTGAGTATTAGTAATGTAATAACAGCAAAGGGAAGCACACCCATGAGAAAAAGTCTTTAGGCTTTTTTTTTTTTTTTTGTATTTTCGAGACGGGGTCTCCAGCTGACCCGAACTCACTATGTAGACCAGGCTGGCCTCAAACTCACAGAGATCCACCTGCCTCTACCTCCCGAGAGCTGAGACTAAAGGTGTGCACCACCACACCCAGCTTCAGGCTTTATTTCTAAGAGTGGTAGGTCTAGGTCACCTAGCAGCAATACAGTGCCTGGTCCTCAAACTAGCACTTCAGTTCTTACTAGATCCAAGTCTCTCTTCTATGTCACAGGTACAGGATGCACTACAGCACATTTTATTCAACTGCTAAAGATCACAAAAAGGCCTGCTTCACTAGGCTTGAATGGAACATGTGAGAATATGTGTGAAGGCCAGATGACTATTTTGTACGCAATGAACTGAACATACCTATCAGCTGCTTTCAGCATTATTTTCAGCATTATAATCCATCATCACTACCACCTTCACCACTCTTCATTACCATCCTGACCATCACCATCACCCATCTCTATTATCATCACCATCACCATCACCACCATCACTACCTCCTGCATTCTCTTTGAAGTTGGTTGGCTAATGTGTTTAGAAAGAACATGGCAAGAATGAGTTGCTCACAACTAACTGCCAGTTTCAGAAAAATAAACCAGCAAGACTAGGTTAGCTTATCCCTCATTGTTCTACAGATACACTGCCTTCGTGGAATATATCATGCTCAGCAGTTAGCAATCTAAATGGGCCCACAAGACAAACACAACTCAGTTACTTGTGATTTCACTGTAGTTAGAATAACAGAATACAAATTTATGTATTTTCCTTTCTAACAATAGACAGTAATTGCATTTTCAAAGATACTTACATCTTTGGGTGTTTTACCATATTTATTCCTTGGGTTTTTCACAATCAAAGGGTGTGAAGAAAGCACATTGACCACATCCACATTCCCAAATTTACATGCAAAATGCAATGGTGTATCATAGCCCTGAAAAAGGTATAGAAGCACAATTGCTTACTCAACCTATTAACATAGATGCTCTATAGTAAAAATATGTATTCATTTAAAAACAAAAAAGCCAGGCCAGAGATAGCTCAGTAGGTTAAAGCCACCTGCCCCCAGGCCTGACAAGCTGAGTTCAATTGGTAGAAACAGAGAACTGACTCCCCTAAGTTGTCCTGTGGCCTCCACCCCTGCATGCACATGCTACTCCTCCCCAGTCAGGATCTCACTATTTATCCCTGCCTGGCCCAGAACTCACTATGCAGACAAGGCCAGCCTCTAACTCAGAGATATCTGCCTGCCTCTCTGCATTTGGAGTACTGGAAGTCAAGGTGTGTGAAGGTATGAGGCACCATACCCAGCAATAAAACTAGTTTGTTTTTTGTTTTGTTTTGTTTTTTTGAGACAGGGTTTCACTATGTAGCACTGACTGGCCTGGAACTTACTATATCGGCCAGGCTGGCCCCCAACTCACAATCTACCAGCCTCTGCCTCCTGGTACTGGGATTAAAGGTGTGCACCACCATGTCTGGTTTAAAACAATTTAACAACAACAACAACAACAAAAAATCTCAGAGGTGGGTGTCTTGGTACAAGCTCCTTGGGAAGTTAAGGCAGACAGATCAGCAGTTCAAGATCATTCCTAGGTATGTAGTAAGCCTGAGGTCAGCAAGAACTCCCTGCCTGAAAAAACTAATCTCCCTAGAAGAAAAAAAGCCCAGAAACAAAAAAGACACTGCTTTTATAGTTGGCAAAAGTATTTGGAACACTAACATATACTCACTATGTGCAGGGTCCTGAGCCTGGCACTCTACTGTCACTGCTTATGTGGTGTTAAGAGCCCAGGTCCAATGAAGCACTTAAAATCGAAGGCCAGTCACTTTAATAATTCAGAACCCAATATACAGTCATGTGACCAATACTTTAAAAGTAAGTGAGCTGGGCATCATGGATATTGCTGCCTGTAAGTCCAACACTTGGGAAGTCAAAGTTTAAGAAGGACAAACTGGGTTTGTGGCTGGTAAATGAGATGGGGGCCAATATTCTGTGACCAACTCCTAAGTCTGTAGAATCTCACTTGATACCATCAGAACTGAACTGGAGGAACACCCAACTGGAGTCTGTACAAAATTCTAATTCCAGAAGTGTATTTGAGAGTATAGTGGGAGAAATTTGACTATTGATTTCTCTCTACAACTTTACAATTTACCTTTAAGTTATCATTAATTTCCTCCCTCCTTCCCTGTTGTCCTCCCTTCCTTCCTTTCATTTTGAAACAGGGTCTCACTCTTCCTCCTTCAGGCTCCCCAGTGCTTTCTTTTCCTCTCTCCAACAATTTCCTAAACTCTAAGATTCCTGAGAGTTTAGTTCTTGGTTCTAACTTCTACTGAATTTTCCTTCATAAAAAAATTCCTGTCTCAAAAAAAAAAAAAAGTCTAGGGGCTAGAGATAAGTGTCAGTGGTTAAGAGCACTGGTTGTTCTTGCAGAAGACCCAGGTTCAGTTCCCAGTACCCACATCCACATGGTGGCTAACCATCTGGAACTCCAGTTCCAGGAGAGCCAACACCCTCTTCTGTCCTTTGCAGGCACTGCACAACACGAGTGCACTTACACACATGTAGGCCTAACACTCATACATTAAAGAAAACGTCCTTTTGGTATGCATGTGTGTGTGTGTGTGTCTGTGTATGTGTGTGCACGAGCATGCTAGCGCACACATACCGTGGTACATGTGTGGAGCTCAGAGGACAAATTATAGAATCTGGGTTTCTCCTACCACATGGGTCTTGGAAATCAAACAGGTTGTCAAGCCTGTGGGTACAAGCACCTCTATTCCCTGAACCATCTTACCAGCCCAACTTTTTTTTCCTTGTGGTGTTAGGGATCAAATGGGGCCTTGCACTAACAGTTAAATCTACAGCCTGGAAATTTTACTCCCACAGGAAATACTCTTAATGTAATGCTCAATGAGAATATAGATAAAATATACATGGGGCTAGAGAGATGGCTCAGCTGGTAAGAATATTGGCTGTTCTTGGAGAGGACCCAAGTTCAGTTCCCAGCACCCACATGGTGGCTAACAACCGTCTGTAACTCCAGTTCCAGGGGTCCTGACACCCTCTTCTGACCTCTGCTGGCAATGTACCACATGGATGCACTTACATACATGCAGGCAATATACTCATATAAATAAGATTAAAAAAAAAGAAAGATGTAACAGCACACTAGAATAAAAGGTACTGAAACCTACATTCTCCTTTTTGTTGCTTTTTGGCATTTTCTTATGCTCTCATCACAGCCCAGTCCACACCTTGACAAAGCCCTGGGCACCTCCTGGAGTACTCTGTCCAGCTACATTCTGATCACAGGTCTGACAGCAGCCAAAGGACCTCTTCTATGAGTTGTCTTATTTTCATAACCACAAATTTGTTCTAATTTTTATTATTTTTATTTTATGGGTATGAGTATTTTGCCTGAATGTATGTAAGAGCACCCATGTCATGCAATGCCTACAGAAATCAGAAGAGGGCATCGGATCCCCTGGAACTGGAGTTACAGATGGTTGTTAGTTGCCATGTGGGTGCCGGGAACTGAACCTGGGTCTTCTCCAAGAGCAGCCAGTGCTCTTAACAGCTGATCCATCTCTCCAGCCCCTACTGCAGCGTCCTTTTTTTGAGACAAGGTAAAGTCTCTTATAGTTCAGGTTGGCCTCAAAGTCACTGTATAGTTAAGGATGACCTTGACTTATCTTCTTGCCTCCCTCTCCCAAATGCTGGGATTATGGCATGCATCACCATATTTTCAATGGTGCTGGGGATTAAACTTAGGGCTTCAGGACTATAAATAGGTACTCCACTGTGTTACATGCCCAGCCACATGTATCTCTCTGAGTCAGTGAGTGTTCTCTTCCTAATTTACAAGCTTTGCACTCAGATAGAGCATAGAAAAAACAAGAAATACCCCCACATATCAAATCCAAATCTTCAGCAGACAAATTGAATATGAATGCTTACTTACCCCTTTGTCAGGAGTGTTCAGATATAGGTCGACAATGTAGAGGATGCGCTTCTGCAGCATGTCCATGTTATCATCTGGGTACATGAGACGCATAAACTCAGGGTTCTCCAGAGTCTCTAAAGTCAGCTGGCATATAGAAGCCTGATTCTCTTTGGCAGCAACATGCATGACATTGTACCTACATCCTTCCTGAAAGAAGACCACATGTGGGAGCTGGAGAGATGGCTCAGCAGTTAAGAGCATTTGTTGCTCTTGCAGAGGACCTGAGTTCAGTTCCCAGTATCCACATGGTGGCTAACAACCATCCATAACTACAGTTCCAAGGGAACCGAGACCTTCTTCTGGCCTCAGTAGACATTTTTTTTTTTTTTCGGTCTTTTTGAGACAGGGTCTCCCTGTAGCCTCAGCTGTCCTAGAACTCACTATGTAGACTAGGCTGGCCTTGAACACAAAGATCCGCCTGCCTCTGCCTCCCAAGTGCTACGATTAAAGGTGTGCGCTACCACGCCCAGCAACAGTTTTTTACATATTTTACACTTATAATACATGCAGGCAAAACACACACATAAAATAAAATTTTCCGGGTCTTCTGCAAGAAAAACCAGTGTTCTTAACTGCTGGGCCATCTCTCCAGCCCCATAAAATAAAATTTTTAAAAAAGACCACATGCTGAGCTTCTTAAAACATTATCATTGGTCAGGAGTACAGTGACCACAAGCTATTAAAGGCAGACTTACTTGCACAATGGTTGGATTGTCCCCAGAACCAATTAGATACCGGGGGTTACTTCTGCAAGAAAAACCAGTGTTCTTAACTGCTGGGCCATCTCTCCAGCCCCATAAAATAAAATTTTTAAAAAAGACCACATGCTGAGCTTCTTAAAACATTATCATTGGTCAGGAGTACAGTGACCACAAGCTATTAAAGGCAGACTTACTTGCACAATGGTTGGATTGTCCCCAGAACCAATTAGATACCGGGGGTTACTCCAGATAAGTTCAGAAAAGGTATCTTCTTCCCCTTTCTCAACAGCTTTCCGCAGCTTGGCAGTGAGGTCCTGTGTACGTGGGTTTTTATAACTGTTTGCTCGTTCTTTGTTTACTGTTTCTGATTCAGACAGGCATGAACCATCTGCCATCAAGAAACAGAATTAAAGAATATTTAATCTCATAAACTTTTTTTTCTTATTCTGTGTTATGTTAAAGCCTTCCCACTGAGGGTCAGCAACCCCTGGGAGTGATTGGTAAGAAATGGTAATAGCAGAAAGCCCACACACACTAGCCTGAAGTGACAGTTCCAAGGCAGTGCTGGCAAGTACATTTAATGTACTCTGACAGACAAATCAAGAAGTGTGGTGAAGCATGTATATAATCCCAGTACTCAAGAGGTCGAAACAGGAGGATCATAACTTCAAGGCTAGCCTGGACTACATAATGAGACCTTGTCACACAAAAAAAGTCAATTTTATAGGTGAACAAGGATTGTAGGTGAGCTCCAACATTCCAATATTAAAGAAAAAGTAGTCCACATACAGCTTCTGTGAGTTTATGAATAAAACCTATGAGCATCTTAAACTGAGTCCCTCGGGGCACTTTTCCAAACTGAGAGAAACCATAAAAGGCTGAGTATGGGAACAAGGGAGGGAAGCAGACAGGCCCTCAAATGGAGGTGAGCTGTTCAGCTCAGACAAATGTGGGAGAAGGAACATGAACCAGGGCCAAATCTCTCGAAACAGTCCTCTAGCTCTGAGTTAGGCAGAGGGTATGGTTAGATTTCTGGCTCCCACAGGGGAGGCCGACTCTTGCAGATCCTACAAGTCAAATGTAGGTGGGAATGTAGATAGCTGCATCAAAATCCCACACTCAAAAAGCAGCAGGTAGAGCAACAAGGGGACAGAAGGGACATGGTGCTCCCTTTGCTGCTTCACTGTGGACTATGCACTAAGTCGTAGCTGATTAGCTTCAGGGCCCATTCAGCCCCAGGCCCCAGCCTTGTATCTCCAAACCTCTCTAGGCTAGCCCCTAGTCTATTTCCCTTTGTTCCACTGTAGGGCACCTCAGTGTTCCACTTCCCCTCATGAACCAGACTTCTCTCACAGATGGAAAAACTGAGTCGCTGTACATCAGGAAACATAAAGAATACTTGGGGGTAACTGACAGTAATGTCAAGACAAGAAGTACGACATGGCTTACCTCTCAACCCACCACTGCCAAAGAGTGGTGCTGCCTTCACAGGAGACAGTGGTAACATAGTTTTGTTGGGAGAAGGGAAATAATCACAAATTCCTCTAGCAAATTTCTCAGCATCTTCTCTTGTTGGAAAAGCTTTAAACCGGGACCCTTTGATCATTTTGACAGCTTGCAATGCTTCCTTTTTATCTTCATAAACATGGATCCTTTCTGAGTGTGAAAGTAACAGGAAAATTAGATTAGTAAGTGGAGCCCCTGTCACTTAATTGTACCTAGGGTTAAAGTCATGTTTAACTTATTTGTTAACAAGTCCCCTGGCTCCATGCTCATGTTCACAGTACAGATTGTTTTAAAATTTTTAAATTTTATATGCATGAAAGTGTATCACATACATACAATGCCAGCACAGACCAGAAGAGGGTATCAGATCCCCTGGAACTGGGAGTTACAGACCATTGTTTGCTGCTATGTGGGTGCTGGGAACTGAACTGTGGTCCTCTGCAAGAGCAGCCAGTGCTCTCAACCACTGAGTCATCTCTCCAGAGCCCCACAGTTCAGATTTTTTGATTGTTTTTAAAAAACATTTTTAAAAAAGATTAAAAAAGGTTTTACTTGTATGTCTATAAATATATGTGCACATGGGGGGCGGGTACCAACAGAGGCCAGAAAAGGGCACCAGAGTCCCTAAAGCTAGAGTTAGAGGCAATTTTGAGCCACCAGATATAAGTGCTGGGATCCGAACAGTTTTCTTCAAGAGCATCAAGACCTCTTAATTGCTGAGCTATCTTTCTAGCCCCCTATATTTATGTTAAAGAGTCTTGGTTGGCAAAAGAATCAAATTAATAAGCTTGATCATATATGTGTGTATATAAGCAATATATTATATAGGCCTGTATGTTCATTTCATATCCTATGATACTATAGCATACTAAAAAATGAATTTTAAATGTACTAAAATTTAAATGAAAACAATTTAAAACTAAGTTTAAAAATTCTTGGACTGGGTATAATGGCTCACACCTATAATCCTAATAGGAGGAAAAGGCAGAAGTCAAGAGCTGTATATAGCCTAGGCAAGAACCAGGACAGCCTGAGCTATGCAGTGTGACCCCGACTAAAATAAAATGAAGCTGTAATTATTCATTTTTTCTGTCTTTCATTCTTTTTCTTTGGGGGAGGGGGGATTTCATATAACTCAGGCTGGCCTTAAACCCACTATAGCCAAGGATGATCCTGAACTCCTGATCCTCCTGCCTCCACTTCCTAGTGCTGGGATTACAGTATATACCACCTGTTTTGTTTTTGTGAGACAAGGTCTCACCTGTACATCCCAAGCTGGTTTTGAACTCACAGTAATTCTCCTGCCTCCACTTCCCAAGGGCCAGGATTACAAGCATGTGCCACTAAGTGAGGTTTATGTGATGCTGGGGATTGAACCCAGAACTTCATGTATGCTAGGCAAACACTACCAACTGAACTATATCTCCAGCCCCAAATTACAATTCCTTGTGATTGAAAATTATGTATGTACTCATTGGGTCATCTACATTCATTAACCTAAAAGGTATTCAGGGTTATAAAGAATTAAAAAAGGAGAGGGAAGATAATTAAACAGCAAAGTTGCTAACAAATGGCAGCCAGCCAACCATTATTTGTAAGTCAAAGATATCTGATAAAATCCAGTTTTCCTTGCAATTAAAAAAAAATTTATTATTTTTATTTTATGTGTATGCATGTATTGCCCACATGTAGGTAAGTGCACCTGTGTTGTGCAATGCCCTCGGAGGTCAGAAGAGGCTGTCGGATCCCCTGGGACTGGAGTTACAGACAGTTGTTAGCTGCCATGTGGGTGCTGGGATTCGAACCCAGGTCTTGTGCAAGAACAACCAGTATTCTTAACCACTGAGCCATCTCTCCAGGCCCTCCTTGAAATTTTTAAAAGGTATTCCTTGGGGCTAGAGTGATGGTTCAGTAGTTAAAAGCACTGGTTGCTCTTGGAGAGGTTTGGTTCCCAGCACCCACCTAGCAGATAACACTAGTCCTTAACTCCAGTTCCAGGGGCCCTCTTCTGACCTCCACAGGCACCAGGCCAGCATATATACATGCGGGCCAAATACTCATACACACAAAATAAAAATAAAACCTTAAAAAATTATTCCTTAAATTTACTAAAAATTCAAGAGAGTAACAAATGTGAACAATGACATTAATCTTGAGTGATGAGCTTACAGCTTCCTAGTCTGTGTGAGGAGACACTAGGCAACACATTACCATTTCTCACAGAACCATCCTCATATACTGGACACACTCCATAGTACAGAAGTGGCTCCTTAGCAGCTGTCACTTCAGCCTTGTGGTTGTCAATTCCAGTAGAGGTATTGAAGGGCACCAGGTGGTCCCTGGATGTTACAGCTTCCTCTTCTGGAGGGTTTAAGCCCACACTATAACCAAAATCTCTATCTTCAGAAAAATTGGCCTGCTGAGTTGAGTTCCCTCCCACAGATGTGGGAGTCCTTGGGGTACCCTGGATGAATGCCTTGGCAGTTGCCTCACTGTGGTCGGGAAGAGAGGAAGTCAGCGAGCCACCTTGCTCTAGTAAAGCCTGAGCCAATTTCTTCTCAAAAATAAACCTTGTGGTTGATGTAATAGGTCCACATTTCAATCCAGCTTTCATAATTTCTTCTCTAAGGTCATCTGGATTCAGGAGTTTCAATCGTGCCAATATAGCATCCATTGTCACTTTACCTAGATCCAAGAAAGCAAAAATGAACTTGGGCCACAGGAGTGTAACTCAGTAGTCAAACACATGCTTAAGGTGTGTACTTAGTTTCCCAAAGGTTCCCGTCTTATCTACATTCATATAATCCATGTTGTTACTCTAAAGCTACTTTTTAAACTTTGGATAGTTGTTGAAGATTTATTCCCTGCAACTAAACAAACAGAACTTCATATATCACTAACTGTGACCATGGGCAAGTTATTCAAACACTGAGCCTCAGTTTCCTCACCAACAAAATGGACATAATAATAGATCTACTTTTAAGTCATAATGAGAAGTATATAAAACACTGCACATAAATTCTGTACCACTAGATCTGACAATGCTAAATCATCCATACATGTCAAGCTATAGCAACTAGTATCTTAAAGAACACATGCTTATTAATCTTTCAGAAACAGTTAACTATATACTGGAAAGTCTGTTAAATATTTTTTTTTAATGAAGTCTCTCCTACACTACAGCGTAATCACCTCTGACACTTAAAGAGGCCATGGTGAGCCTTTACTCATAAGACAGATGAGTGCCACAGTTTACCAATCCTTGGGCTGGAATACACTCGGCAATTCTGCTTTGGAAATGAAAGATTTGTACAACCTTAGCAGTCTTACATAGGAAGATGGATAGACTGATAGAGAGATGAGAAATTTAGTTAGGGCTGCAAATTAGACAGTAATGTTCCATTACTGTTCCTTGTCACACCTGTTGTGACATATGTAGCACAGAAAACTCAGAGAATCTAGCCAATGATATGCAGAATTCCTTTACCTTT